CACCGATTAAAGTTTTATATTATTTATATTTGGAAATAATTTAATTTCGAACGAACTACGAGTCTCTCTCCAGTTCATCAAAAATGGTTTTATTCGACATTTTGATTACGACAAAATTAGTAATTAATTAAGCGCAACATTATGTTATAATTTCATATAGCACAAATCAGTACGTAGTTGTATGCAAACATTGTTCCCCTTTTTGATGTTTAAGTTAGTAAGTCTCGCGTGTTCAAAAAATTTTAAAATAAGTAAGTTCTTCAAATTCGATAAAAGTCACACCTTTTCGCCCAGTTGAAACCCTGGATTACAATTTTTTGTAACATAAGAACCGAGGATTTGATTTTGATCATGATGAAAAGATCGTCTCTTTCAGTGGAATAATTTCCTCTCTCAATTTTTTTATGCTCGTCATCCTTCCACTTTTTGAATTGGGAGTGTACACATGAGACATCACTTTTTAATTTGTTTTTTTGCTTAACATTTCTTACCTGGAATAATTGTCAAAAAAGTCAAATTTCCTAAATATAAAAGTTTCTAATAACTTTCTCTAATGTTTACTTGAATTTAGTGAACGATTATTTCGGTAATAAATTGTTTCTAGCAAATTCGGTAACAATTTTGTTACCATATTATATAGAGTGCGCGTACCCTTTATGATGCTGATTGCATGCGCGTGTAGAATTATCCAGTATTTGCTGATAATAACGAGGATAAGAGAAAGATGATCTTTCCACGAATAATATTTGAGCAGATGCGCCCACAATTCGCTCGCGGCAATTTACATAATCTGATTTCGAAGAGAACAAAGTCATCATGGTTTCATTCCATCCGGCTTTGTTTCCAGCGGGCCGTGCATAAAGCGTGGAATCGAACCCTAGTTTTAAGCATACTTTGGTAACAAAATGACTAACAAAGTGACGCTACTTAATTTGTTTTTGCTAATATTTCGTCTTAATTTATCACTGATTGGTAACAAATTTGAATTTCGTGATAGATTATTCCCAGAAGTTCCATCTCACTGTTTATGAACAGCCCATCCTTTCACCAAAATTTTGTCAGTAACGTTTCATTCAGTCCCGCGTAACTTAATCCAGCCGTGATTTCAAAGTAAGTTATAATTTGAAATCGAATCGCTTTACAGCAAAACTAAACCACGTGCAGATTAGCATCCTCTCGTCATCTCTCGACGGATATGATTCGCTCCTTCATATCATGCCCGACCGGTATTAAAATTTGGATCAAATCCAAACCGAAGGAAGGAAAATTTGCTCCGTGATGTGGAGTAAATCGGATGAAGTAAATTTCCCAATAATTTTTGGAGTGAACCTCGCAAAAATATAAACACATACGCAAGAGAATAAAGTAATGGAACAATTTTGTAAATATTTTGCACACTTGTCAAGCCAAGAAAAAGGATTAAATTTTGATCCGCGTCTCGTACAAATCGTATAAATTTTGGTTTTATCCAATTTTAGATGCTAATTCGAAAATTGTCTTCAGTTTAAACTGTGAACACTAGTTGTCGTTTTGCATACCAATATTTACTCATTTAATGAATGCGTTCTGTGAATTTTTTTCAAAGAAGCATGGCTTTTGTAAAATATTCAAGAATTTGAGGCAGTTAAAAAACAAGAATTTGTAACTCTGATAATTTCGGTGTATGTATGTCATTGCGAGTTTTATACTTCAACCTAACCAATTTTAAGTATTTTTCTAATTAGAGAAAATATATTTTATTTTAAAAATATTTATTTCCAAAAACCAAATATTATTAAATACTTTACGCAAATGTTACCCTGAAAATAATGATAGCAATTTAATTTGTGGTGAATGTGATATCACAACGCCATGATTTAATAATTTTAATTTTTGTAAACGTGTAAGGGAATACAGGTTAAAATGGATGGTGACAAAATTGATGATTCTTTAGTGTTCTTTAAATTTTATGTAACACGATTGCGTGAGATGACATGGAAGTAAACTATTACGCAGTTTGGAACCGCTTATAAATTTACATGTGGAGATCCTAGTGTCTAAATTGCCAAATATATTTTTAAGCAAGTCTTGAGAAATAAAATATTTACAAAACATTTCACATTTCGCAGATTTCACCCCATAACCACACCCATTTTGTCCTCCTTGATTAATCCCTTTCCCTAATAAATAAACTAACTTCCAGCTTCCATAAATTTAACAACTGTTCAGAATATCGTCACTATCTGGGAAAAATTTGACGACAAAATCAATCCTACCATGTCAGAACTCAGAAATATCTACCTTTCCAAAAAATAAGACCACCGTCACCAGTTTCGATTTGATTTCCATATTTCACTCCATTCCGTCCTCACTCGGCAGCATTTTGAGTGAGCTTTTCCCACACGGAATGGCATGACTTTCTCTCCCTTCGTCAACCCACTATTTGCACAGGGGATCCCACAGCCTGGGACGGAGAGTGAGTCGATATGATGTAATATTGTACAAATATGTGTGGGATATTGTGGAAGGATCGGATTTGGATTCAGATTCTGCCCGATGAATAAATAAAGGCGAATAAATTTGTTTCCTGTTGTTCCCCAGATTTCCGTCCGGTTGTGGTGGTGCAGGTCTTTATTTGAGAAAGTATGTGCTGATATGGGCACCAGGAGGAAGCCATGCAGACTGCATGACCAAAATGTCCTCGTGTTTCGTACACTCTAAAGAATCCGGTAACACATTTTCGACAAGGTAAATAATCACATGGCCGATGTGTGTATTTACGAAAAAATAAGAACTTTCAGAAAATTTGCAGTTTTGAATTTAATACTGGATTTTTTGTTATCCAATATTTTACAAGTTCGAAGTTTTAGATTTTTTGTTAATGTTCACGCCTTTAATAAAAAATAAGAACGCTAATCAAACTTTAACTTAAAAAACAGGTTCACTTTGCGTTTGCTGAGAAGAATGTAATAGGATGTCATTTGGTGATAAAAGTGATTTTTTACTTTATCGATAAATGTCACACAAATGGTAAAAATTATTGTCTCGTATTTTAAAATTAAAAGTTACAAGTTCCAAAAAACATAAAACTCAAGAAACTATTTCATGTGCACCCTGGTTGCTTTGTTAGTCTTTCGCCTGCTATAGAAATTTCCTGTCGATTTTGTCCCCAAAACATGGGAATCTATTTGGCATTGTCTTTATCTTTATTTTCCTTTGCCTTTATTCCGTTGCGTGTCCTTTATCTGTATTCAGGAGTTTCAAGTGGAATGGGAAAAAAGGGATAGAAGGAAGAGATCAAGAGCAAATACAAATAATAAATAAATAAAGTGGGCGCGATCTCGTCACTCGGGGAGAAAGTTCCCTCCCTACTTTCTCCTATTGTGAGTAGATAGAGTTGCATTTATGCCCATGTCCAGTGCATTTAAGCATTATTGCATTCACATTGTCCAACTTTTCCTGCTTCCCCCCATTTAAATATATGCCCCACAAGGTGAACGTCATAATAATGGTCAAGGCATTTATGCAAAGTGCCAGCCTAATTTCATGCCGTGACGATTTGTTTTGTACATTTGAGTGTATCGTTTAAAGGGTGGGATACATTAGAAAATCAAAAATTCATTCATTTAACTCCTGATTTTCCTTCGTCATCTTTTTTTATAGACGCGCTGGTACAGGATTTTACTGGGTTGCAAAGCTCTGAGTGAATTACTGGTGCAAATTTGGAATGGGTGGGTATTACGATAAAGTTTTCGCTGTAGCCGTTGTTGTTCTGGGCTGGAGTGGTAATAAATAAAAGGAGCCCTTTGTACATCCATGTGCGTATCGTGCATGGTACAATTCCTGTGGGAGGGACAGGACCTACTACCCCGTCCAATAGATCACACCCCTTCTGCAGGGTCCCCACGGAAGTAGAAGTCAGAAGTGGTGGAGGCGGACGGAGAAATAAACAATGATGAAAAGGAGTGGAGGAGAGAGAAAGGTGTAATAATGTCGTGAGAAGAAAGTAATCCGGCGAGGTCGGTGTTGTCTTACGACGTAAGACGACCCACTCCACTTGGAATTAATGATGAGGACAAGAAAGCGAAAGTGAAATCTTAGCCACGTCCAACACAAGAAGTTTATTAAATGTGTTTCGCCTGGGTAAAAACCAGAGGACAAAAATAATAAGATTTTTTTTTATTGGATTCGCGTCGTGCTTGTAAACTGCACAAGGAAGAAAAGCTGGCAAGACTGAGATTATTTGATGGACTTTAAATTACAATGTATGTGTAGGTACCCGTGAAAAATTCAAAAAGTTATTATGACATTTTGAAAAGTTTGGAACGCAATTAAACTCACGTGATTAAAATCTCTTAACGAATCTTACTCAATTTGTATGAAAATGAAAATTTACTCTAGGTTTAAACAACTGTTTCAAAATCATCCAAGACCTTTTCGAAAATCTTATTTTCAAAATTATTTTCGTATTGTTCAAATTCAATGGTGCATAAATATATAAATGGGAAAACAATAGAAACCAGTTTCCCCGAGAAGCTTACTTGGAGGAAGAAATATAGACAGGGCTTGGAATTTACGTAACTCTATACACTTTTCCTCCGCACTTTCACTACTACCACCACTTGGGCAGGAGTAGTGCCGTGCGGACGACTGCAGTGAAAGTCGTCGTCTCAATTTCTCTCTACCTCAAAGAGGAGGAAAACAGTGCCAAAGAAACTTGAATTAGAAGTTCGAGTCAAAGATGGAAGGAAGGAAGGAAATAAGCAAACGATTTCCTGGAGTGAAACTGAGATCACGTTTCATCCAGTCACGTAGATTTAGAGTTAGTACATAATTGTGGTAATTAACACAAATATAATATACTGTTTAGTATCATTAAAATTATTTCCGAAATTTATATTTTGTTTAAATGCAAAATATTAAATCACACTTTCGCATTTTTTGGAAACCTTTTATAGTTTTGTGGCAATTTTACACAAGACATTCAAAAATTACACACTATTTATACAAAAAATACTTACCTGAATTGTTTCCTGTTTAAAATGGCAGCAAATTTACCAACTTGTTTACGATCCACCTTAAGAAAAATTGGAGAACAGCTTTCACCAGAATTTTTTTGGAAATACTGTAAATTCTCAAACTTTTAGAAACGAAACGATATGGTCCAACGAGGTCAATGAACCTTCTGTTCTGTTCCTTTATCCTTCCGCTGGTTGATTTTTATTTCAAAAACGTCCCAAATGAAGGTCAATGACCTGCACACTTTCACCCAGGTCAGGCCCCATCATGCTCAACCACACCACTCGGTTCAAGTCTGAATCACACGGTGCCAATTTACTTTTGTACAGCCAATCCTTAAAGCATTGTCACCACGTGATGGTACCGTTTGTTATCTTGTCCAGAGACCATTTCATCCTCAATTTTGTCCTCCATGCCCCTCCCCCTCGACCGCTATTGTCACCAACGCGGTGACAATTCTTCCCCTTCAAATCCTCTCCTTGTCACAGAATCATTCTCCGTCGTGTTATTTAAACTTAAATACTGCGAGGAGAACCCCCAAAGAATTCGTAAAAAGTAAATGTATTTAATTCCAACGGATTTTCATCACCAATTATCAGTTAGCATTTACTGAACAATTCGTCCCTTCGTCCGACTAGAATTGTACTTTGGTAACTTTCGCAAATTCACATTTTCACATGAAACACCGGTTTTCTCTTCTGCGTTGAGTATTACTTAAATCCTCGTCGCACTTTTCCCACTTTCACTTTCCTTCTTCACAAGACCACATTGCACGTCTCGTGTCCACTTTCAGTCTCTCTTTTAGTCCATCAAAATAAGTTTGGTAGAACAAATTGTCGTCAATGTGAGACTACGGTCACGGAAATTGTGAGAATTGTGAGTTCCCCCCCGGAAATCCCGTTGGAAAAATGAGAGCTCGCGGCGCACAGGTCTGCACTGCGCTGCTCTGAAAACGACACTGAAGTCCCGGTATATATGAAGCCCTCTGTTTCTACTACACTGACATGCGCCCAACCGCCGCAGTGTACGGTACGCTCATCAGTGTACATAGTTGGTGTATTTCTTTCGCCAAAATTCTCATCTCAAAGTTCGACACTTTCCTCTCTGCGATATTCATCTTCTCATTTTAGGCTGTTCGGTACCGTTGCTGAACAGCAACCGTAGGGATTTTTGCATAAGGACAACATTGTCTTTATGCAAAAATCCCTACGCCAAGTTTGGAGAATCCAGGCACCAAGCCACCTTTCATCGAGACATTTGCAAATTCATGCTGGATTGTAATAACATTAATGCACCCGGTAAAATCATTATCAATAGAAATGTGTGATTTAAACATTTCCGACATATCCAATCTAGGCGTGTGATAATGGATATCGAGGTCTGCGGAATTAAAAAACACGTATGAACATACATGCCAAAAGTTTTAAAGTGCTTTTAAATAGTTAAAAGAGCGTTCCATTAAAAGAGAGTTTTAGAACCAAGAATATGTGCCAATTTGTTGCAATTTTCGCTTTTTTATTTGTCAACTTCTTCAAGCTTTGTCAATTATGCATATTTTAATTTTAAAATTTTGAACAGTTCATAGTTTAACCATTTAATTAAAAGGTTAAAATTTAGGATTAATTGCCGAAATGGCGTCCACCTTATGAAAGTTCATTACAATTTTGACATCGTTTAATTATTCTGTAAACACAAGTAATTTATTGATCTCCCCCCACAATCCTAATTCTATCCAATTGCACCAAATCGACGCCTCTCTGCCGGAAAACGAGGACATTTCCTCCCCTCCAGAGCGGTACAGTGACCCGAATGACGCCATCGTCCAGATTAAATTCCCCCCAGCCCGTTTCCGTCGGGGGAAAGGAGAGGTCAACCTCGTGGAAATTATTCACCTTCAAGGTCATTCCTGCCGTGACCTGGGCCCCATTCGTGTAACCGATAACAATCTCATAATCTCCGGAAACATCTACCCAAACGCCGGTAAATTCTGCCGACATGTCGTCGTCGCCACTTCTCGCGCCCACGTACGATCTGCCTGACGCCGTGGGGGAGGTGAAGATATCGCTCGTGCCGGTAAGATACCCATCCTCGGCCTCATAGCCAACATCACTTTGCGGCCAAGGCGCCCAAATTTCGACCTCCGACACACCTACAAACGTTCCTTGGGAGATGTTATTCGTGAAAATGAGGCGAATCCATTCCGTCGCGACGGGGCGGAAGTCAACCGTCCAAACATTGTTGGGTACGCAGATCGCGGGGGTTAAAACCTGGTCCAGCGTAGGAGTCCAGGCCTGCAGAGATGTGTCGAAATATTCGGCGGTGATGGAAGTTGGACAATCTGTGTGGTGGGTTTGAATCAAAGGTCAAATTGGGGAAAGTTTCTTTGAGAATTTCGAATCATACCTGTTCACTTTCATTCATTTGGCTGAATATGACAGTGAATCAAGTCAATGAAAGTGATTGAAAGATTCCGTCATTTTAGATGAATCGACTGTGAATGAAAGGATTTCTCACTCATTTCATTTTTCACTCTATTCTTAATACATGGGACGGAGTAAGAAATGAAGTCGGATGAAGTGAAATGAAATGAATTTAAACGAAAATGACTGAATATGAATTCTTCAGTCAGAAATCCTGATGACTGACTTTTGAACGAAAACTAAATTTTCGAACAGGTATGTCTCGAATATGACTAATGATGACCTTCGGAAGTTTCGTTAAATTTTGCCTCACTTACCCACGCCACGACCTTCCGCGTAATCCGAGTAGACGTAGAGCTTGACTTGATTTACGACCCTGATCCTTCCCGGCCCAAAGTTGATGGCAAACCAGTCCTCGGCATCGATTCGATTGCCATAGTTGGACCATCGGTTGATTGGGATAAAATCGTAAAATATTCGCCCGTCGACGGCCTGCCAGATGGACGAATCTCCATTTATGAAGGACGCCGAGGGGGCGGGATAGCCAAAACTGTTCACATTCGCAGCGTAATTTTCCTGGCGGCGGCGTCCTGTGGGGTATGAAGGGTCGGGGATGGGGGGCGGAATGGCAACCTTGGGAAATTATCCAATTACATTTTATAAACCATCTCAATTACTGAAAACTCTCAAATAAATCTAGTTGAATATGTAAATAATTTGTAGATACAAAAAATTGCAAGTCGAAAATTGCGTAACGAGAAAAGTTCTCCAATAAAAATTGCAATTCAAACGGCTGAAAAATTATATCATACGTACATCCAAACAAGCGTCATCTTAATCTCCATAATTATAGATTAAAAAATATTTTTTCGCAATTTTTATCTCATGCTAAAACTATTTGAAATGGCCAAATCTACAAAATCTGCCATTTCCCGGAACTCTCAAAAATTGATCGAATTTACAAACTCTAAAATCACTAAAATCTCAAAAATCTCCCCAGCTCTCAATGTTTCCCAAACTCTGGCTGACCTTCATCAAGCCCACCGTGGGCCTTGACCCTGCCAGCCCGCCGTTCACCCAAACTTGCATGCCCGGCCCACCGCTGCTGTTGTACCGCGATCCGTCTCGGTCCCACAACACCGTCACGTTGTGACCGTGGTAGGACACGTGCTCCGCGATGAAATAGTCCCAGGTCGCGGGCACGAGCGGATTCACTTGGAAAAAGTCGTCCCCCTGAGGCTCTATCCCGATAAGGTCGGATAACACGTTATCATTGTACGTAGAGTGGGCATAGTGCTCAGAGTGGTTTCTAAATAATAAAATATGTAAGAATACTTGGGATGCAAATTAAGAAAGAAATATCACATTGCATGCACCCAATACAAAATCACACTCAAATTGGATGCAGAAAATCACCCAAATTTGGACCGACCTGCCATCACACACCCAGAAATCCCCATGGGGGGAGTGGCACTCCGCTACGTAGGGTTTCCCATCCTTGTATTGCGTCCGCGCATACTTGTTCAGCATTCCGACGTAATCCGCCACCGTCACGAAAGCGGAGGGATAACGTTTCAACTGCGCCGCCAAAGCGCGCAGGGTGTGACCAGTCGAGTAAGGCCACGAGTTACCATTCCTTCAGACAAATTGGATTTTAATTTTGCTTGCATGTATGTAAATACGCATGTCGACTTACCACCAGCAGCACTGACTCGTCTGATTTCCATCGAACCACTGACTCCGCATTTCGCACGTGGTGGGACCAAAGGCGGAATTGAAGCCTTCAGGATGGAGCAACTGGACCCAGGCGGCCTCAAATGTGGGGTCATCTTTGGGCGGAACTTCCCACCGCCACGGGTAGAAACCTATCTCTTCTCGGGCATCCAGCAAATCAAGGTTCGGGTTGTCCTCCCTGGAATAATTTAATGTCAATGTCAGGCCGCCAGCAATTTTCAACAATGCGACGATATTTTTGGGATTAGAATTCTAGGAGATGTAGATTCAGGGAATCTGGTTTTAGTGGCCGTTAACAATTTTAATGTAGCGTATGTATGAAATGCGGCGCATGAATTTGCATTCAAAATGCGATTTGAATGCAAATTTATGGTGCATGAATTAGGGTCGCCTTTTAATTATGATGACTATAGCCTTACCTGAAAACATGGTAGAAAAACTGTCTCACTGGATCCCACAAGTAGGTCACAATTGCGTTCCGAATCGCATTCGCCCGTTCTGCATACTCCGCCTCGATCACTGAGTCACCAACGAGGGCGGCAATTTTACTTATCGCCATTGCATTCGCGTACATTTCAGAGTTGAAAGATGGCCTGCAAATTAGGACAAAACAACAGATAATTTTTTCAAAATCAATCTTCTTCAACATTAAATTTATTTCTACGTTAATTTTTGTATGCAAAATATTTAATTTTCTCTCATTAAAGTTTAAAGTCTGGGCTTTCTAACTTCCTGAAATAATTTGTGTACCAAATCTGTATAAAATTTGACTTAATAAACGCATACTTAAAAAATAGTCTTGGGTTTTAGTGCGCGTTCAAAATTCCGCAATCCGCCACGCCTTAATTTTATTCTGTAACCTGTATCCTAGTCCGCCGTGGTAGGGGTCATCTGTCTGTTCCGAGCTGGCCGAGTGTTCCATGGCGTCGTCGTGCGGGGAGAGGAAGTAGAGGTCAAGGTTAGGTTCGAATTTGTGGTCCCATCCGCGAAAATTGGTCACGAGACCGGCTAGCTGGGCGGAGATGAAGGCGGCGTCTCCGTTGAGGAGGAAAGCGTTCCATGCAGAGTCAGCAATCCATTCTGAGTACTGCTGGTTGCCACCACCCTCTCGACCCCACACCGAAATGTAGTCCTGTAAGAAGTACAAACAGGTCTCGTCTAGTTATGTATAAGCCTAAAATTTAAGTTTTCTTGAAATTTTGCAGGAAATTATTTAATTTGATCCCCGTTTGTTATTGGCATATAAGTTTGCAAGTTTGTTATCCTCAATTATTTTCATGAAAAAATTAACATTTGATACCTTGTACCTATTTTTATGTTCTAACATATTCTAGCATTTGATACCTTAATTTTCTTCCTTTGAATCAATCTGTGACGTGTAACAACTTTGCCCAGCATTTTAGGCACATTAGTTTAAATGTGTACTAACAATTTTACATTAATTAATTCTTACACACCACAGTTAGCCACGTCATTGCACCAATATGTAATTACAAATTGAAAATTTTCTCACCTTGACATATTTCGAGTTTCTGAGCCATTTCGCCTCATCAATGTGGTGACCAGCGGCGGCGTTGATGGTATCGAATTTCTGCGAGTACCCGACCTTATGAACAAACTCGGTGATGACATATCCCGCTCCGGGCGTCGCGTAGCGCAGGTGGCGCTTCAACGAGGTCCACCGGTAATAATAGACCGCTTCGATCGCTGCGTCCGGCACTTCCAAAAATGGCACATTGGCCACAAACCACTCAGGTTCCGCGTAACCGACCAACTTGTCTTCAACGGAGACGAACGATGTCGTCTGCGCCGAGATGGTGGAGACAGAAAGTGCGACAAGAAGATGTATCATGGCGAATTTGGGCGTCGTTTTCGATCTGTTGGAGTTGATCAGGAGGAAATGTAAAAAAATAATAAAACAAAGTTTATATATCTCCTGCAACATCCCGGTGATCAATTGAAATGCACCGAAATGTCCTTGGAAAAATAATATCTATGAATATTAAATAAGGTGGATTTATTAGTTGGTCACTAATGAATCCGTCAAAGATTGCATGAGATAGGACGGAGTGGAGAACTTTTTCGAGTCTTGGCCACTTCCTGTGGTCGAAACGTGTGTACCTTTATTAAATTATTTCCTCTCGTCGACTTGTAGCATTCGATTGATTTTCAACAGTTCTCTTCCGGCACTCGACTCCTAAAAGTCACATTAAATTTAGTCTCTTACAGCCAATATGTATATATTGCCAATTAATGCCAATAAATGTGTGCTAAATTACTACGAGTTTTTCCGTCGGTTCGTTATCTCTCCCACACCCACAAGAGGTTATTTCTTGGGTACAACTATAAACTATTCACACTCAGGTCACACTCCTGTCATATTGTGTATTGTGTACAGTATCCTTATCAGATGGGGTTATCGAAATGATAACAACATAACAAATAAATGTGCCATTAATAATGTAGGTAGACACAGTTTTGTACTTATTGATTTGTATTAAATGTTTACCTCTTTTTGCACCCGGGTAGTTTTCGTTTGTTCCGATAAGAACTTATCGTAAATCATTAATTTGAAGTGCAATTTGGGCAGATTTTTAGTTACATGTTGCATTTAATTGTTGCATGCAATTTAGCTGCGAAATTTTCGCTATCATTTTCCATTGAATGCATTACATTGTTCGCTATGCAAACATTCTACATATTGATAAATGTCTTATGCGACGTTAAGCCACTCATCATGCAAAAATAATGGATAAGCTGGATAATAAGCTCATTTTCATGGAAAAAACGTCTCATCTTTCCCACCGCCAATAAACAAATTTTAGACTTGTTGACATTTCTTCTCCCCGGAGGAACCTTTACAAAAATTTAGTTTTAATTTAATTCTTAACTTCTTCAACATTTCGAATTATTTAAATGTGCAGTCATTAATCAGAGTTAAATGTTAACCGGGGGGATTGTGGGTTCAAGGTCGCTTGCGTCCGAGGGATCAGGTTAGATTAATTTTGATAACATTATTCAAAAATTATTTATTTCCACATCGTGCTTATCATGATTTTGAACAGCCTGGTATCGCTGCACCGAATGCCAAGCCGTCTTCAAGCTGAAACATCTCATCGTCCGCCACCTCAAGACGAGGCACCTCCTTCCCGACCGACCAGAATGGGAGTAAGTTCTTATCTTCACACTTATACTGATATCGATAACACATTAACCTTTCATATCAGGCTGGATAACAACGACGAGAAATGTGCCACTTGGTGGGAAAGGGTCAAGGTCGAGGGCACCACGATCACGGCGGTGGAACGGGTTGCAAAACCTATTATTGATGATGTACCTTATCAATCTAAAGTTGATTATCTTGCACTTGATAAACTAGTTGACCTTGTGTTTTCCTTGCAGACCGTCACCCCGACGTTTTCCTTACAAGAGTTCAATGCAGCGACGACCTCAAATCCAGCCACACTCGTGTTGTCTGAAACTGCGAAAAAATTCAAGTGTGACCTCTGCACCGTCGACATGTGGTTCGCGTTCAAGAAGAGTTTGTACGCTCATCTTCTCAAAAACCATGACAGGTAAGATCAGTCAGAGGTTACCGGTTATGAACTTGTCGGTTAAAAATCGGGTCTGATCTCAGATGATGCGACTTTATCAGAACGGCTAACAATTTTTAATTTCGGGGGCAAAATCGTCCACATTTTCACTACCGCAATAAATAAATAACAATATTAATGTTTAAATATCCTATTTTTTGCAGAGGCCTCTGTAAAGTCCCTGGTCTCAATCTGTGTCGATTTTGCGGCTTTCGAGCGGAAACACCATCCTTTTTGAAAGCCCATGTCAAAACCCATACTGGAGAAGTAAATAAACTTGATAAAATTCAAAGTTTTCTAAAAAATATTAATTTACAATTTTATTTCAAGCGCGAAGAAGATGCCCGCCTCGTCGAATGTTCGGCGCATTGTGGGCGTGTCTTCTCTTCTAAGGCGAGCATGAAGAAACACGTCAGGTTCAAGTGCGTCGAGGCAAAACGGCTGGGTCTCGATGGGTCAGGCTGTGTCGCGGATGGTCAAGGTGTGTACCTGCATCAGTAGAGATTCTTTCGTAACTCAAAATATATTCCTAACATTTTTCACTCCAACGCTAGTTCAAACTGGTCAACATCACGAAGAAGTTCAAATTATGACGTCTCGCGTTCCAAAAACTAACCCGCACGTCCTCCGCCAATCGGCGACTGACCTGCCTTTCCGATGCCCACAATGCGTAGAGACCTTCCCCACGCAAAATCGTCTCTCAGGTAGAGTTATACGCACGCCCTATTTCCACTGGCATTAAAAAATTAATGCCAGTAGAAATACATTGTTCCCAAAATGTCCAAAATTTCCAAAATTTCCATCATTTATCAACTCTGTTCTCTGGTTTATTGGTTTATCATTGTTTACTGAAGTTTATTAAATGTCGCAAATCATAAGAAAAAAACCTGCTTTTCAGATCAAGACACGTACAATAAATTCAACTAATCTACACTAATGAATTAATTTAGGTCATATGGGAGTCCATTCAGGTGACCTTTACCGCTGCCGATATTGTTCAGCCCCGTTCGCCCATGGTAATTTTTCTTTGTTCCGATAAGAACTTACCATTAATCATTAATTTGATAACTTGTACCAATTTGCAGTGCATACTAGAGGAGCCCACGAAACCAACGCCCACAACGAAGAGTTGGGTAAGAGGTCTTTTTCCCCTCCCCCAAATATCAAAACAGTCAAATCGTTAATTTACAAATTCCTCCAGGCTACGGCTACCGATGTCCCGTCTGTTCCAAAAACTTTGCCAACATTGCCACCATCCGGGGTCACTATAAATACACGCATTGGTTAGACTTGCCTCCACGCGAGGAAATTGAAGGCTGGCGAATTGGCGACGCCTCCCTGGCACAGCAGGATGTTGAAACTGTCGTCATTTTAGCGGAACAGGACGACGGCCAGCATGAACACCAACCTCAACATCACACCATTACGGTTCAAATCCAACCCGATTTTCATTCCATGCTGCAACAGCAACAAGCTCAACAACACCTTCAACAAGAACAACAAAACCACGCCCACAACGTCATGTCCCTCCAGCAGCACCACGTCCAGGTACAGACGCACCCCCAACATCAAAATCAAAACCACAACCAGCAACAACACTACAGTTTGCGGATGCCTGTTGGATTTGGCGTGTCACAAATAACCATGGGTGCTCTTATCGGCCACATTCCATTGGGTGAGAGATACTTTTTTTGCACAATACCTATGACCTTGAGACTTACTTAAGTGCGTACCTTTCTTACAGGTGACCCATCTCCCGGGCCAAGTAATAACAATAATAATGCTCTCATCACTGCCAAGAAGACTCGAAAACCTCGCGCTCCACGTAACCCCAACACGACGCCAGCAAAGAAGACGGTGGGAACGAGTAAGAACGCCGCCGTAATGGGTCGCGGAGGCGGAAAAAAGCGCAAACAGCCACTCCCACCGGCTAAAGTGGAACGCAAAAAATTCCACTGTCGAAAACCCGGTTGTGAGGGAAAGTTCCAGCGTAGATGGGAACTAACATGGCATCTCGAACGAGCACATGGCGAGGTATTTCCAGGACACATTAAAAAAACCCTCAAAATTTTAATTTCAAATTCACAATTTGTTCTAGTTCACCTGCGAATTCTGCTCGTCTCCTCCATTTGACGCGAAAATGGCGATGGTTCACCACCAGTACCAAATCCATCACAGGTCAAATTTTGTTTTATTACCAATGCGTCCCACCACTCCGAGTACTTTATTACACAATTATAGATTAATATCTTCAAATACAGGGAGTTGGGCTGTTACGAGTGTCGACTGTGCGGTCGCGGTCTCGAGTCTCCTCGCGGGGTCCAAGAACACGTTGCTCTGGAACATCCCGGAACAGAAATACCACTCACGCTCGAGGCCAAAATGTGGCGTCGTGGCGCAATTCACAGGAAACGTGTTCAGCGTCCCGAACCCACCAGTACCACGACGATGCAACAATGATGACTCTTTTGTTACAAGTTTTAATTATGACCAAAAAAATTTTCTTGACGTTTCGTGCTTTTCTAATTTTATTTTTTATTGACTTCTTGTTAAGGTCGCATCTGTTTTTTTTACAAGGATAATAAAAATAATAGTAATGTGTTGATTCATAATTATCTATTGACGAAAAATTAATTGGGAAAGATTCCGTCAAACCACAATTTGACAAAAATTGCATCATCAAATCTTCAAATGTCGTTTTTTTATCCACACCTTGTAATTAAATAGCTCACTATCATGAGCCAAAGATAATACACCAAATGTGGAAATGAACACAAGTTTATTTATATTTATTTAATTAATTATTATCAAGTCTACTTTTTAGGAACACGAACGTTATCAGACCAAACGGCGCTGATTAATAAGGATGAATTAATTAAGTTTTTAGTCAAATTTAATTGAGCCTCAGTCTTCAAATTTCAGTCAACTGTTTATTAGTCGTCTTCCACGAGGCTGTTGCTCGCACCTTTTCGTCTATTCTGGTCTATACAACGCCCAATTGCGTAATCACTTTCTGCCAAAAGGACTTGAAAATCGAGGAAAGTCTGGAACAAGAATAATATCACGTATTTAACGATACTCTGCACGAAAGAACAAGCGTGTTAATATCATTGTTGTCAAACTTGTTAAATATATATGTGTTAGACTTCACTCATTATTAGTAACTCGCAATAACGTTACAAATAATTTTATGTACTCTGGCGCAAGTTAACAACGAGTATCTATAACCGCTGCTTTATCTGGAAATTATTGTTCAAATTATTATTATTGATTATGTCCAACCTACCCGTGCCAACCACTCGTAGTCGCCAAGTAAGGAGTCGATGACTTCTTTAGGGTTCAGCTTCTCGTCTTCGTCGAGTTCTTCGACAAGCTCAACCACATAGTTGCGAATAGCGTTGTAGACATACCACGAGTGGTGTGTTAGTTTCCAGGCAAGATACACTTTTATCTTGCACAGGCCACACATATTTCTCTCCTGCAAGATAAAGCAACCAAAGATTTTACGACAACATACGTAATTTCACTACAGGTTAAATACGTTTGCAAATTACTCTACCTCTTTGACGTTGGAATCCTTCAAGAACTCCGGCTGGAATGAGACCTCGTCGTAAATCATCCTCCGAAAGACGCCGAAAAAGTTAGCGATGCGTGATCGTTGAATGCAAGCTCCACAATTTTTCTTATCTCCCTTCGGGACCCTATCTCTTCTGGAAAAGCGAACTTGTGGGAACTGGATGAACGGGCGCCAAAATCCACTCGCAATTCCCGACACACCCATCAAATCTTTCGCTCGATCTCGACAAGCTGCATGATATATGTCCCAGGCCTCTTTCGCTAAGGGGTCATCTGTACAAAAGCAAAGTAAATTAGGTAAAACAAAAATGCAAAATTTTCAACTTGAATCTCTCCTAAGTAAACATTTTCGGAAGGTTTAGTTTTAGGAAAATTAAGTTTTCAACTCGATTGGATAACAAAAAGTTTAAACTTGCTGTTTTTATACGAAGATGTGTAAAATTTACGCGACGAGATCCACTTACAAATTTCCGAGGTCGTGTCAATCCGCGCCTTAATAAAATCCCCGTTGTGAATAACTTGGCGAAAAATTAGCTCCGCAACGGTGTAAAATGCGCCAAAGAGATGCTTCGTGGTTCGAATTTTGAGCAAGTATCTGTAAAGAATATGCCAAACATTATTACCAAAAGGTTTCAGAATTGTTTCCGCAAATTATGACAAAAAATTGTTAATAAAATCGTTACATACGGTGTTATATGGTCGACATGGATGTACTGGTACACTGAAACTTTAGCCGTGTCAATAATTTTCAAAACGTAGACTGGATGATAGCGCTGAAAAAATGATTTGTCCCTCGCGTCCACAACGAGCATCTGCAGTAATAGTTAAAATTATCAATTCACTAATTAATTAATTAATTAATCAACTAATGCATTTACGGAGGTCGTCGCTCTATGAAATTCTCTCCCGCTGAGGTCCACTGGTTCATATTTTTGGAGCGTGATTGACTTGTCCTCCATAATGTGGACGCGGTAGAGGGTCGTCTTCATTGGGGCTAGCCCGACTTTCCCTGCTTCAACTAAAAAACACCCGTTCTGGAAAAAAGTTCACAATGTGTTAGTCAAAATTTACCAAGTTACATAGGTAATTACAAAACACTACGTTTTACTCCACTTAACTCACCGCATAAAGTTCCTTCTGCTCCTCTGCGGTGGGGTTGTATTTTTTGAGGTCGATAACTTGCTGTCTGGGCGGTATATCTAGCCGTTTCCTTGATGGCCGCGGAGCAGGCTGCCTTTTTCCCTCTGATTTCCTGGGTCTACCCTTCTTCACCACAAAATGTGGCCTGCAACTCGACGATGACGACGCAGAAGTCGAAACTACAGGTGGCGGAGGAGGAGGCATGATCGTTTGCTTCAGCGATTCAGTTTTTACGATTCCATTTTCAACCACATTCTCCTCGTGGGTGGGAGGGCCGACTTGTTCGGAAGAAGAGGTCGTCGTTGCAGGAATTTTGATTGTAGTCATCACCGATGGACCAGTGGTTGTTGTCGACGAAGATGCCACCGTTGGAGGAACTGTGGTTGTGGTCGATGAAAAGGTCATCTTGGCGAAATCCCCAAGACTAACTTGCTCCATGGCACTTTCCAAGGGAACTACCACGGTCGGGAATGACTTTTTATTGGCATTTTTCCTATTTCCCGTTGAAACTCGGTTTCCTTTTGTGCTTTTCCTTGCTCCTTCTTGGGAAGGATTTGTCAGAGTCATTGGTTGACCTTGTTGATCCATTACTTCAGGAATGTCAGGCGCCACCATGTCGTTCCTTGAGCCAGGCTGGCAATAAAATCAGAATTTAAAAAATATTTATTAGTATTTTTTTAGGAAATAATTTGCAAACTTGCACAAATCACATCTAGGTTTGCAGTCAGATACATTGTGTAGTTAATTTAGTTTCTTTACTCAATCTATTTTTTAGTGTTACTTGATGTAAACCAGTCATTAAATTGTACTGATCAAGGAATAACATGTGAATAAATGACTATCAATCAATCAATCAATAACTTAGTTATAAACTTAATGAATATTAATTAAATTACCATTTCAGTTTTCAGTTTGAAGAGGGTATCCACCTCTTTACTATTACTTCCTCTTTTCGCCCGCTTATTCTTGTCGGGACCTCTGCCCTTCCTCTCGGCCTGTTGACCTTCCACCTTTACCTTCTTCTTGGACACCCGCTGCTTCACATTTTTTTGTCCCGTCACTTCCGGTCGTAGCAGGGATGTCGTTGTCGTCGGCGTGTTATTAATATTCATCCCAAGCTGACCTGATGGTTGACACGTCACGAAAGGTTGCTGCGGCTGACCGCCATCAGCACCCCCGCTGCCGCCAAACGTATTGTTAAACGAGGGAAGTCGTACCTCAGTCGTGGCGGTGGGCGAAATTGTCGCAGTCACATTATTCGGCCGGACTGGTTGGACTGGTATCATTCTGCTGTCACCGTATCTTATCTGTCCCACCACTGCTGGTGACAACAATTTGCTCGGTGAGATAGCTCGATGCGGTGGGAACACGCCCATCTTGGCGGGCGATGTGGCTCGATGCAGGGGAGGAAAAGCTGGGGGCGGGATCAAGGCTCCTATCCCACTATTCAGAGCGGCCCGTGCTATCTCATACTTTTGGAAGGGGACCTTTTTCGGCATGGGCTGTGCAGACGATGACGAGATTCCCCGCGGCGCTTGTGGAACTTGAAAAATTCGCATGCCAGATTCAGCCGATGCGTGGAAATTTAACGGTGGTGTCGAAACTGATCGTTGCGGTGTCGTCGTTGGCGGAAAAGGACTGCTGTCGACCTGGGACAATAAGGTTGCCAACAATTAAAACACATTAACCTTTTTAAAAAGAATAACAATAAGAGACATTATTTCGGAACTCATGGATGTATTTTTGTTCGATGTTTATTGGTCACAAGCTTTCGGAAAATACTTTTTCCTTCATCAGGTGAATTAAAACTTGGAATGACAATGACAATGTAACTTACGCCAAATTGCGCAGGCGTGGACAAACTCGGCGCTCTGGGTGGCATCCCGAGCGAAATTTGGTAACTGGATGGATTTGGCGGTGATGCCCGCGCCCCCGCAGTCGGGATCATGGGCGGATATGCGATCAATCCTTCTGGAGTGAGGGGAATGGTGAATCGTGGAGGTGGAGTGCGAATGAGCGTCGCTGACTGGCGATTCATATGTGCGGCCACGGAGCGTGGGGAAATTCGAACTCTCTCACTGGGAAATTGACCCTGACTTTGAGGCTGTGTCGCCATCTCGGGGGTTCGATGTGAAAGGTTTAAAAGGTGTCGTTGTTGAGGGGACGTGATGGAGATAATCTAGAATTATATGTTCAAAGCAAGAATTTGTTGTTAGAAATTATTGACAGATTAGGTAGCTGGCTGGAGGTAGTTTTGTTAACTAGTTGGAACTGTTTTTTGGTGACAGTTTGGATATTGTTGATAAAGTTTTCACTAATTTACTTATATTTAGATAAGGTTAAAATTATAACTTAAAACTAGAATCTAACTGTTTTAATTTTAAAACTTTCGCCAAAAAGTACGTTTCCATTAAAATTTGATACTTGAGGTCTTACCTGATTCTCCCTCGCTTGACTCGTTGCGGCAGAGAGCGGAACCGAACGATCTTGTTGACATGAACTTATCTCCCCAGAAGCAGGTTGACCTCCTTGATGTTGATTAAATGTATTAATTACTTGCCCCGAAAGTCTGACTAGTTCCGCCCCTCCGCTAAATTGGTAACTGCCATTATTCCTCTCCTCTTGCATATCCACTGCTTTCACCATTGCTGAGAGAGGATTGAATTCTTCCCCTCCCGATGGACGACCTTGACCCCAATCACCTTCCATGGCCTACAAATAAAAACCCAATTTGACATTTGTTTCATGTGACTTGCTCAAAATAGAAAATAGAGCACCGTTTTATTAATTAAGAACTTACTCTCTACTCACACTACCATTGACTTCATGAAAAGAAAGGTATTTAGCTAATGACAAGAAGTTTGAGATACTTTTTCAATTAATTAATTAAAATGGAAAATTAAATAAGTATATCGCAACTTTCTCTCCAGCCAGCTTTACTTTAGCTTCTACAGCACGATGACTTTGTCCAGCGGGGCAAATTCATATTCAGGTTTCCCCAAATTCGTCTTGTCCTTCCCCACACTGTCCAGATTATAGGAAAAATTTAATATTTTTGCATATTCTCAGCCCTAGGTGGCCAAAGAAGTACTTGCAAAAAATTCGACGAGCCACACCCACTTTGGGTGAAGTTTTTTTCTAGTGGGTTTATGGTCTATCGCCCTAACGAAATTTTCAGCCTAAGCGATTAGACGCCTTTCAGAAAAAAATTCAACCAAATCTATCTATCAATGAACAAAAAAGTTATTCATGTCAAACTTTGGCGAAACGGCGAAATGCAAAAAAAACGCCTACTTTAGGGGCGTGGTTTGTCGAATGGGGCAAACTTTTATCTGGAAATGGCTGACCAGCATAATGTGAAATAAGCTTACAAAAATTTAAAAAATGTACACTGCGACCACGTTTTTTGCATGCTCAAGTCAAGTAACAGCACAGCAATTCCGGCAAACCTTGTGATCACACGCTCTTGACGATGCCAAAAGTAAACCTACGTGCGCCAAGATCGCGTCGTCCTAGAAAAAAGCGAATTTGGTTTAGCGATTGAAACTGAAATGTGGGCAATGAATTGTTAAAAAGACGTATTACGCAATCCACGTTAAACAGAGACGCAAATCTTTCTCCAGTGGCGGAAATCGCCTCGAGAACTCCACTGGGATCGCTTTCACCCCATTTTACTTTCCCCTTCCGTGGTGACATTGATTTCTGACCCAAGCTCTTAAAATCACTCCTTTTTCGCAAAGAGAGCAATAATGGTATCCCACTTTTTCAATGTGAGAAAAGCGATAAAATAATTTAGCCACAGATTCCTGGAGAAAAACAAAAAAAGGAAATCTAGGAATTGAATTTTTCCTTGTGATAAAAGTATATTTTCGAATGTGTTATTGATTTATGTTGTCCAAGGACAGATAAGAACGGGTGAGAGAGGTTAACGAATTGTGGAGGTTAGTAGATGCTCAAGTTTGCACGTTTACCAGGGTTTCGTAGGTTTTTTTAGTACATACATAGATCGGTCCTCAATCGAGAACTTGATGCACATACACGAACTATGGCGTTGAGTGGGCAGTACTTTTATAGAAACATCCGTTTCCTGAAAAAATTGAAAGTTTTATTGGAACGTTATTGATTTTCGAACTTTCTCCTCTCTAGTTTTTGCTCCTTACAAGATGTTTTCCCTTGTCTAAGGATAAGTAAGGTCGCCTAACAAGAGGAAGCAAAGGATGTGAAATTTCCCCTAAAATTATAAAGCCATACGCATTTTGTAGTGTTTTCATTTCACTCCCGCACCAACTTTCTCTTTTTCGATGAACTATATTTTTCTGGTTTGACCTGGTGCTGGCTTGGGGGATGTTCAGAAAAGGTGGTGATGTAAGTTTATGGACAATGAAACCCTGCGAACATTGTTATTCACTGCGAAGGAAAGCAGGAGAATAGTTAAAACAGCAGTCGTATGCTTTCTCCATTTTTTCTTACAAAGACATGTAACACACACTTTCACATTCATGCATAGTCATTTTTTTGTTACGAACCCCTTGTTTTTCTTTCAACAACTCAACAAACACAATTTGCTCTTTGTCTTCTTTCCTCGGTTGAAGTTTATAATATTCCTCACGTTCTCCTATTGTTTAAAAACAGGGTTCCCAAAATATCATATTTTCTAAGAAATTTCATTTCGCATGTCTTCTGAGAATATATTATCCCTCAATTGTACAATAAAAAAAACCTGAAAAGCACGTGCCGACTTGTGCCACAAGAAAATCTTGGTGAAGATTAATCCGATTATTTTCCTGTTTTTTTGCTCAGCCTGTTATTCATTCAAAAACAACTTAACTTTTCCCTTTTGTAAAGAGAATCACGCCGTAAAATGATACGTTGGTTATTGTATTTGATCTTTCATGAGTGGGCGAGCACATGGATGACAAGGGAGGAACAATAGCTGGCTTAATTTTCACCATAGTTGAGAACTTTCACACAGAATTTCTTTTTTTATCATGAACACAACATTTGAGAAGGATTGTTTTACAGATAAACAGATAAACAGATAAAAATCCGGATTTTCCCAACTGAAAACGTTTTTTCTTATCCATGTGGCGTTAGGGCGAAAAGAATTCTGTATTCGATTCCTGGTTCCAAGAAAGTTTGCGATATTCAGCCAAGATATTTGATAGATGATTAGAATTCAATTAAATGCTTAAGATCTGTCTTTTATTTCTCATATTTCAAACCTAAAAGCTAATCTTTTTTTCGCGTATATTTCTCATATTTTTTATTCTGTACATAAAGAAATTTATCAGTCTCTAGTGCTTTTGACCCATCATCCTATAATTAAAATGAGCTCAGGGCTGGCTAGGATTTATTCATCGCTATCTAAATACTTCAAATCTACGACTAGCATTTTGCACGGGCCCTTTGCAAAACTTTGACTTTTATACCGTTTTATTGCCACGCAGTCTATTTTGAGTGATTAAGTGTGCACTATTTCACATTTATTTCATCCTCCTGGCAGATTTCGCATGCCTCTGGATTTGCTCCGTAAGTAAATAAAAATATGTCCTTACACGACAATTTACAAGCTGAGTTGGCACACAAAATTGAAATATTTGTGTAACCCGATGCACCATGAATAGATTATTTAAATGACAGTTATGAATTTCTTTTTTTAGTAAAGAATAAGGCTTCAGTTTGCGAACAAACTTGCGAACGAAATCTCAACCTAGTGAGTAATCAGTAAACGACTTTCAGATTATGTTATGTTACTAAAGTCAGGTTCTTGTCACGTTAATTAGTAAATTTAAAAAAATAATTACATCGTATTTTATCCTCATGTGTATTAACCAGAAATAAGTGTGGTGTTGGGATTCGTACAGTTTTAAACTTTAGTTCAAGTTTTATCCAAAATAACCTTCAATAATCATTATGCTATGCTTATTTATTTATGTAATTTTGTGTACTGACTTGAGTTCATTCCTTATCGTATTTTACATTTAAGTTACCCATGTAACTTCATTTGAGTAATTGTGTACGAGTTCATTTCCTTTAATCTCTATTGTGACTAATAAGTTGAACCCGAGTTCTAAGTATTCTTATTTTACCTTGACAGTAACTTTCCAGAAGGTCTAATTTTACATACTTAATTGCTCATTTACTTACCATAGGTTATAAATACAAGTTACATATTTTTCCTCGTTGTCATTCTGGTTACACAATTTGTCCAAGTCAGTCAGGTCACGTCAGTCTATTTTCCTAATCTCAATTTGCCTCAATTTGTATGAATTTAATAACTTGTATAAACTGACTACAATCAAGTACTTCACATTGCCATCTTATTTCTCACCGATCCACACACATATTTGCACACATTTCAATACCCATAATCAGGGAACATTCATTTTAATCACTCACACAAACCCCCTGCTCGTTGGGAGCCGTCATCCCCATCATGTGGAGTCATCCAACATTTACTACCATTTTTCATCATCATTTAAAAGAGGTAGATAAATGGCCAGTGACGCACAAAACGATCCCCCCATGTCCAAAATCACCTCTTGATTTCGCCATTTAGAAAAGTTACACTGCAGATTTGTCCAAATTGTACCGTCTCCACTAAAACCATAGTCATGTCCAAATCTTGAATATTTGCCTGGTTTGGTCCAGCCAACGTGTTCATGTCCACGTCCACGCATTTACATACGATGCATTCTATCAGATAAAGGTATGCATAAGTTAATTATGATTGACTGTGAATCGACATATTTTTTGCGGTGCCAGTAAAGAGTACGGAAGTGAGGATGTCGTTATGTTATTGTGCATAATGCTGGTTCCTTTTTGTCTCGTGTACCTTTGCCGTGAGAGATTGGAACCAGTTTATGAATTTTTCAGCCCAATTTTCCTCATTGAGAGAGCCAACTACTTGCAGCAATTAAATTGCAAGCATCAACCAACACTATTAAATAGTCATGGGATAACAATATTAATTGACACTGGTTCGGTTGGCACCTCAACTGGGAAGGTGTTGTGACTTTTTTTCGACGATTTTCCTGTAACAACTTTGCAGAAATTTCACATACTGAAGAAGCCAATTGCACACCATGTTCCATCACCTTGCATTTAATAAGCGATCATCTTTAATAACTCGCAAATCAAAATTTGTCGTTTTTCATGACTTGACAACATACATAAAAACCAGTTGAAATATCCAGTAAGTTTTCCTCGTTTGCCATTTAGGCAAAAATGCACTTTGTAATGGTCCAACGAGATATACCAATGCAATGGATAATCAGTTACAGACAATGCTTTTCGCAGGTTAAACGCCGAAGCTTGTTTCATCGTAGACTGGAAATTTAACATATTACAGATTTTATTGTAATAAAAAGAATAAAATGCGAAATAGTATCACTTTCTTTGGCATTTTTGGACTGGTTTTTACAAGTGTGAGTTGCGTGTCGTACGATGAAGACGTAAGTTTAAGTGCAAGCCAGGCCAGTGCGTTTCAACAGGTAGACAGTAAATTGAAAATTTGGTAAAACCTACGATTAGTGTGTTATTAAATTTATAGATCATTGCTTCTCAGTAACTTATTTGAATTATAGCATGTGAATTAAAAAATATACTTTTTTAAGTTCAAGGCACACGTTATTCCCAAACTGAAAAGGGATTTTGAGAAAGAAGACTTGTATCTTCTCCAATTTCTCAGAGGTATAAAACACAGGTGACAGGAAATGGAAATCATGAAGTATTTATTATTATTAAAATGGTAATATCCATGCAGCAAAGAAATTCGATGTTGATGAAGCCGAGCGATTTATTTTAAGGGTAGATTTGTTCCTTAAACTTTGAATCAAACCTGCGATTTTTTTTTAATTAGTCATTGCCGTCGTTTTTTAGGAGTCGAAATGGCGGACAGAGCAAGGCTTTGACGGCATCCATAACGAGGACTGGTCTGACATGGAGTGTTGTTATCCGGTTTTTCTCGAGGGCGTCGATCGTGAAGGGAAACCACGTACGTAGAAAAAAAAAATATTTTAACCACATCCCTTGTATCAGCATTTTTAGTCGCAAAATGCAATTTTTTGTCATCCTGTTATTATGAGTCGTAAAATTTGCGACATCTACTATGTTGCATATTTTAATAGTAATAAAATAGCGAAATATCGCTTATGGTTTTCCCTATGCACAGTTTTCCATGCAAGCGAAACGCAAAATTTTGCAAAATTAAATCGCACAATTTCAGATTGTATATAAAACGTCATCAAACAATTTTTACTCTGGCATTTTCGCCTAGTTTTGATCTTCGACATTGGTGAATGGGATATTCGAGCGGCCGTTGTGGCGGGAAAAGCGGACCGTATGGCGAAATGGATGTCGAAAAATTACGATTTAGCGAGAATGCGAACCCGTGAGCTGGGCAAGGAGGGGAAAAACGTGACCAGATTTAGCCTCATATACGACATGAAGGGCTTCAGCGCCACCAGTATCTCTGCCGCAAGTAAGGCCACGGTTCCTACAACTTTGTAAGCCGTACATGCGTTTTTAGCTTATTTGTGTAAGAACGACCGACTAAAGTACGTTAGTAATTAGTGTTTGAAAAGTATAAAATTTAAAAAAATGCCGTACTAAGTTTGCACAAATAGATAGATAGAAATATTGATGGGAATGAATGGAATTAATTGTTGATAATTTTATAGGCCTCCCGTTTTACGCGACGGCTGCAACTGCGCTGGACCAACATTTTCCGAACATGTTTGATAAATTGTTTCAGCTCAATAGTAAGTAAATCATCTATGCAAATGCATATCTACCCGAATAATTCGGTAAAATTCTGCCACCGTTATGATAATTATGCGAACCGCTCTCTCCGCAAATTTTAATCATGCTGTTCCTTTTTTAATTCAGATACATAAATCGTTTAAACCGTGAAATACAAAATTCGTAAATTTGAATTGCATAGGTCCACCCATTTTCGAAACGGTTGTGCAAGTGATGCGTCCCTTGATGAGCTACGGAACGCAGTCCAAGTCTATGGAAATCGGAGGGAGGAGTGGGCACCCAAAATTAGGAAGTGGATCCACCCCTCACAAATCGCCAAGCGATACGGTGGCGACAAAGAGGACGTCAATTATTAAAAACTATTTCACATACCTGGTTTAAATTTGTGAATAGATTCTTGTACACAAATCGAATAAATAACATGTGCAAAATCACTTTAATGTTTTCTCTTTTAAATTCCATTGCGTTGCAAAGATTCGAGTAAAAATTCTGCCTTTTATGTGCCTACGTATTGATCAAATCGGCTCGTGACAGTTTCTCATAACCGTCTGATGTGTTTCCGATACTAAGAAATTATTTGGATGGTGTCAAGTTGACCGTGACATTCAGAAACGTACTCCAGGAGCTTCACCTTGCATTAAGGATGCCATCAATAGTCTACCCACGGCCTGAAATAGTATAAAATTCTGACTCGTTTACGCCAGACGTAGAGATACGATTACACCACGATTACTTAGCAATGAGACTTTCTTACGTCTCGACGTAAGTTTGTGGCCCCTTAATTATGCACTGCTCCACGGGATTCCTTACGTCATACCGTATGACTCATACGTGAGATTAAGTCACGCGCATCTCCAACCACTTACTAGTCACGCGCATCTGCTTGTTTGTCCTCAGAGTGGACACCGAAGGTCACAATTTTGCACACTAAAAAATTATTGAGGCGATTCACACAGTCTTTAGCAACATCGTAAAATCCGCAAACTTCCTAAGTTTCACAAAATTTCAAGAATATTTAGGGAACATGAAGTTACAAAGTTTTGTAAACTTGTAAGTTTACTAACTCACGTCTTCTTATTTTGTCAAAGGTATTTTAGATATTACCAGTTTAGTGATTATGAATTTACTATCTCATGACTGCCAAGGGCAGTATAGACTATTATGAAATCGGTAGGTAATTGATCACAGCTGGGTAAACATGCTACTAAATAATTGAACATGTACAAATGCGCAATTATTGCACCACACGAATCCTGACATCCCGTCGACCAACAGGAATACTGCTAATTGCCATCTTGTTGAACACAAAAGTGATTAGACTTCATAAATTATTTGAGTATAAATTATACATTTTTACACGAGTAGAAGTCAGGGTTTACAAATTAAACAAATACTAAGTTTAAATAAATTTTTTACTCCTTCCACTTTCACTCTCCGTCCTCAATAAGTCGTCCATCCAAGGAAATCTAGGTCATGAAAGTGTCGCTTACTCAAAATCATAGCCACGCCTGAAAATAAATTTGATTCGAAATCCAATCTAATTTCATTTCCTTGTCCGGTCAGTCGGTTAGTTTTTGTATCCACGTTTCAGAAGAGAAAGTCGGACTTATTACTTTCTCTGAGGGACAATTTAGGCAGGCAAACAACATGTCACCAGTTTGTCATACTTTTCCGAAAGATTTATTACCCGGCTCACCACAAGGATCGATTTGCCTATTTTCACTTATTTATCAAGCTTTCTCTTCAGGAGGGCCTTCCAGAAAAGATGGAATGGCCTTAAGAATGATTTTGTGAGGGTGGGTGGCTACTTCTAATAATTTCATTGAGGCTAACCCACTAATTAACAAAGATTAAGATTTTCTCGAAAGTTGAATATTGTCTAAATTCAATCAAAAAGTAAGTGTCTACTATAAGCTTATGACATTTTGTATGGACATCCCATCATGTAAAGTGGCGTAAACGAGGACTTTTTCTCAGCCGAGTTTCCGCTCTCAGTGGGGGGTAGGTAGGTCTCCGGGGGGCCACCAATCCTTCCCCGCGCTGTTTGTTTCTTGGTGAAAGTGGACAAAAGAAAGTTGGACGAGTGCTGAGAAATTGGACAATGGGCGAGGAACAGTCTGCCCGTGGCACGTTCTGCTTCCCCAGAAATGTGCAACACTCGGGAATAATATATTTTTCTCGTTTCGTTTGCTAAAACTTTTGCGAAATTTGGGACAAAATTTGAGAGCAAGGAATTATATAAAGCTGAAAGATTTCTGTTTATATTCCACAAAATTAAGATGAAAACTATCCAAAGATAAATGAAATATTGAAAATTGTGCACATTTTTGTTAACAAAGTTTTGTGAAAGCCTCAAAAAGTCGGATTATATATGCTAGTCTCTTTTACAAACTTAAATCATACAAAAATGACAAATGTACGCAAAAGTATACATATTTGACCGGATCCAATTATAGGAAGTGTTTTAAATTTTGGACACTTTCTTTAATAAATAATGCCTTTATTATTTTTGTTGTGAAATTATGTTAAATTAAAGGCAGATTTTATCTCGATGAAAAATTGGGATCTTAACATCCATAACTTAATTATTCTCGACGTTGCAATATTCATATTTGTGCCAAATTAGCAGCAAAGTTTTTCTCATTAGGAAATTAAGCCAGATTTTTTTCCTGCAATATTTGCTTTCTCTTTCCCTCTGGTTTTCTCTTTTTAGCCCGAAATTAAATGAAGTGGAGCATCCCGTCAGTTTGTGTAATGGGGAGAAAGCATTTTATTATATTCTCCGCCTCGTCTCGCTTTCACTCTCGTTCCTCATCCCCAACCACACACGTAACAATGTGGTAACAAAATTGTAACCAAGTTTAGAAAATATTTATCCATGCTGCATTGATGACAATTTTCTACCATTCGGTAACAATCATTGGTCAAAGTCATCGCGTACGTTCTGAGTAAGTGTACTCCAGTCTTTCTAATTAAACATTACTGTCACCGCTGAGTAACAAATTATTACCAACATGGTTGTATCTATATCCAGTCAGTCACAATTTGGGCATCGTATTATTTAGAGTTCTCATGTCGCCATGCATGGTTTTCTTCTCATCTCACTGGCTCTGATAACTAATAAAGTTTGGTCGGAATAAGATGAATATGGAGGAATATGAAGAAGGGGGCGAATTTGCATGGAGATGAAAATATGAAAATAACCGGAGGGATTACATCTCTCTCGAAAAGAGACGGTGGCAAAAGACGCCGCACGAGGAGGCGGGATAAAATAATAGAGTTTGTAATAATATGATAAACTCTTAAAATTTTGTGGAGAAAAGTTAACAGAACAAGAAACAATGGAGGTGCAGCGGGATCATCAGCAATTGTCGGCTGTTACAGGGTTCCAAAGTAAGTACTAAAGATAAATAAAGTGCATAGAAAGCTATCTAACTTTCTATGCAGTTGGGACAGAATGATCTTGTTGTTCTTCATTTCAATGCATTTTTTCCAATTTTGTTAATTTACGTAAGTCGCAATGAAACACAAAAATAAGAGCAGCATCTACTTATTTCTACAATAAAAACAAAACAGTCAAAAACTAAATTTCCTAAAAACACAGTTTTAAGAACCTTGAATCCAACCCAGAATCTGACTTCGTCTCTCTTTTACCTCATTATAAAGTAGTCAGCATTGTCCGCCATTTGAAAAATTATCTTTTAATCGCCTCCGGTATTAAAAATAAATTGGTCCCAAACCCTTAAAAAATAAACGAACCGTGTAAACATAATTAGAAATAGGTACATACATAAATCGATTCCTCGTCGTACACTCCAAATTACGGGGTGGTAACAATCTCTTACCATCGAAGTACTATGTAGTTTCCAGAGGTATTTACCAATTTGTAAAAACATACCCAAAAAATGTCTGGCAAAGGCAAGTAGATAAAACAACTTTATCAGATCATTCACCAAACTGAATTTTCAATTATATGCTTAGAAAAGTTAGCGAAATCGATATAATTTTGCTATTTTTGGCACGGTTTACATAATTTAATATTTTTTTCTTCACGGGAGATCAACATCCGGCGATAATAATCAATCTCATCTCTTTACTCTAGTTTTTTTTTCGTTCAATATCGGAATATTTCAACCTCCGTTGAGGAAAAAGTGGTAAAATAACGAACCATGAACATTCGGGGCTGTACAAAAAGCATGTCCTCGACTTGAGGGAGGTACGAGTTAAGGCATCCTGTCCCTCCGGGGTTGATTATAACGTCCAACTAACGGGTAAAAATTCGTAAAAAACAAACTGGATCACATACTTTTTTTGCACAGTCCCTTACACAATCTGTAAGTGGCCTAGTTTAGAAAATATTTGACATTCTTACATAACATCGTTCAACAACGTTCCATCTTATTTATTTAAGCTTAAAGCATTGTTAACTCGAGTAAAAATCAATTTGTTGCTGCTCAATCTTGGTTTTTTATCTTGCAAAAAATTGGAAACATTTGCCAAAATATGTAACACATCGATCATTCAAGAATTAAGTGGCCAAATTTAGTATTTCTTCTCTCCACCTGACAATCTCCTTGTCGTCCCGAGAAGACAAAGTATTTTCCAGATTGGAGATGAAATTTGGAATTTGACGCAGCGGGACAATTTATTTCGTGTCTCCGCCAAATTCTCATTATGAAAACGAGCAGCTTTCTCCCACGACGACCACGTTGGTCCAAGATTTCCTCCGCCTCGTGATAAATGATTAATGATTCGATCCCCTTCATCGCTATATACGCATCATTTCGATGTGTGTGTGGTGTCCTCATTCGGAAGGTTGGGCTGAAATTACGCTTTCTCCACGGCAAAATCCACCTCCGTTGGAGTGTCTCAGTTTGCAGAGACATTGACCAAATTAAATAGCTAGCCAGAAGCCCAACTGCACCTTTAATAATTGTGTATCAAGCAGGAAAAGTGTGGGCTTTGAAACGGAATAGGGATGAATTTGAATTTGCTACTAAATAGGTATTAAATGGCTGGTGTCGAAAAACCTAATCGGTAAAATCAGGATATGGTTGTAAATAAGCAGATCGTTACCAGATTATTTAGAGAGGAGTATTACCATCATTAATTTCTTGGCAAAAATGAATCTGCCGAGCAACTGTCTTTATGGAGACAAATTCACAAAGACGGATGGCCAAGGGGGACTCGATGATAATTTTTATATAACCTCACAGAATGCTATCCCCCTTTCCGTAAAATAAGCTACTGAAATATTGACACTCAACTTAAGAAACGTCTACACGTCGTATAACGTAAATGTATACTGCACAATTAAAGTCATACAAACACGTTGTTCAAAACGCTGCGATATATGAAAAATCGTGCTTCCATTGATAAAATTCAAATGCCAAACATCCTCAACAAATATATCACGAGACATTCATTTCTTGTT